GTCACAGCTGTTTCATATTTTCGCGCCAGCAATCCGCGCGAACATTCTGACTCTTTGTTTTTAAACAGCCAATCAAAAAAATTCGAATTAATTCGAAAATCCTATGTCCCCAGAGCCCTTAGATTCTCGTTCCAAGGCCCTGCCGGTTAAGAGGAGCGAAAAGGGCTATGGGGACGAGAATGCTACTACAACTGGGGAACGGCTCTCTGGAAACCAGTTTGCTTTGCGCGCCTTGGAGGGGCTCAAGAATTGCTTCTGAAAGCCTTTCGAAATCGTATTTTTTCCAAGCCATCCCTGCGGAGAATTACATGAAATTATTTTCTGGGACTAAGATAACTATTTATACCTAAAGGTAAAATAAATCACTGCGCTTCAAGGTCCATAAAACACTTAATGACGAAGCCATGAGTTGCGACACAAAAAAATTCTGTTTGTTTTGGCTAAGTTTTTTTTTTTTGACACAATGGCCGTTTTTATACTAGTGGACACATTATTCGTCTAGAAGGATAATGCGTCCTCGCCGTTTTTATACTAAAGACGCATTATCCGTCTAGACGAACTTGAGCAAACATTTGCAGTTCTTCTGGTTATGCGTCTCTAGCATAAAGACGGGCAGAAGACGTATTTATGCAGCAAACAGCGTTTATTTAGTTTCCGTTTGTTTTAGGAATAAATCTGCAATGGCCCTAAGAAAATTTGCTGTTGCAGAAACAAAGTATATTATATAATCGCTTTCAGAACAGACACTTTGACTCAACAGGGCTTTGGGCAAGCAGTAAGTTTGAATATTCTCCTTCAGAAAGGTACGATTTTCCAAGAGAAAATTTACGAGGGGGTCTGATATTTAAGAAAATAAGGAAAATTCGCATCAGTTAAGTTTCTAATAACTCATCTAGCCCCACTAAATTAGACTGAAAAACTAGCGTCATCTTGTACGCGGGACATTAGAACCTGCATCCTGAAAAAGTCCATGAAGTACAATGAGGCCTCGCCATCTAAAATTACAGTACGCAATCCCAAAAGACATTGATAAGACATTCATACTTGCTTTACAACGGCGCCAGGATCAAAGTATTCCGAAAATAACGTTGTTTACTCTAAGTTATTTAACTTATTGTCAACTTATGCAGGGTTTCTAAATTCAATGCAATTCAATTCTTTCATTTACATTACATAGGACATTTAGATACATTTTATAGGTAAAGTAATGACAATAGAAAAAATATATATATAACCATAAGAAGATAAAATTTATATGTGAACGGTGGCTAAAGTAGCAAGAGCTTTCTGGTTGGCGGTGGCCATGGCCAAGTAAATGGCAGCAAAAAAGTTAATTCATTGAAGCTATATATAGATCTACATACACAACATAACAGCATACATGCACTACATTCACACTAAAACTTACCTTATAGAACGTGCAATGCAGCCTCTACAGAATCTGTGGCCACAACTTGTTTGCACGGGTTTTTGCAGTCCCAGAAGACAAATAGGACATTCAAATTTACTTCCCATCGGCATATCAAAGTATACGTTATAACCCTCAGACCTCGGTTATTCTATTAGTTTAGTAACAAGTGAGCTTCGTTTATTATCGATAACGATGATAAAAGATGCTCACCTGCTACCAAACCAGTAAAGTTTGGGTCGAATAAAATCAGAGAAGGCTGTTCCTCCAAAGAAAAGGAATGAGACATAGCTCTCGTGCATTG